CTGCGGCCCCGCACCCGCAGCAGGCCTGCCAAAGAGGGCGCGTCCGCCTCCGTCACATCCCAAAGATGCTGGGTCCCAGGGCAACAGCGCCGCGCCACGCGCACCGCCTGGGGGCCCACCTCGAACGACAGGTAAACCGCGGGGACCAACCCGAGGATCTCGAAGGCCCTGCGACCACCGCCGATCCCGTCGAAGACGGTGATGGAGGCGGTCTCCTCCTCGGCAGCGGCGTTGGCAGGCCGCTGGCGTCTCGCAGCCAGCGCGCGGCCGCGGCCAGTGAGGGCCGCGCTGTAGACCACGGCGCCTGCAGCCTCCGAAGCGTCCGACGCGGACACCAGGTGGCCGACCTCGAGCCGCATGTCAGCCACGCAAAGGCCCGACAGCGCGAGGCACATCAGCAGGTCCTCGACGATGTTGACGCTGAAGCGGCCTCCGCAGCGCGGGTCGCCGAGCCAACGCCAGGCGTGGGCGAAGCTCGCAGCCAGCGGGCGGCGGAAGCAGTGCGCTCGCACCCATCGGCCCGCCCCTTTCAACTCCATCAACTAGCTCGCCCAAGGTCGCGGCCCGCACCGCGCGGTGAAGGTCCTTGCCCAGCGACCCAGGCGAGCCAGCCGCCTCGTGGCAAGCCCGCGCACCAGACAGCAGCGACGTCACCGTCCCGCGCAGCTTCTCCGCCTCGGACTTGTCGACGATCTCCGCTATCTCCAGATTGTCAACGTAGACCATCCAGGCAGGTGGGCACGGCTTCTCGATGCCCAGCGGCAATCGGCGCCGTCGCGTGGTCTCGCAGCTAGGGCTAAGCCCGCGCGGCGCCGAACTGCTCCGGCGCGGCACATTGCGGTGAAGGTGAGTCGTGACCACCGCCGCGCTGATCCAGCCCATCCAGATCACGCGCAGGCAGATGGAAGTAGCGCGACCATCCTTGAGGCCCAGCAGCCGCGAGGGGACGGGGGGGCCGATTACCGCGCGCGGCCGCCGCGGCGGCGGCGCGCGGAAGACGCAGCAGAAGGCCTTCCTGTCGGTGCCGCCCCACATCAGGTCCTCGGACTCCGAGAGCAGCAGACCGTTGAGCTGGCTCATCGTCGGCATCTCGGGCGCGCCCCCCACGATGCACTCCTGACGCGCGCTCGACGGGATCAGATTCGCGATGGGCCTACGCACGGGCCACAGCTCCCCATCACTGCACTTGACAGGAGCGTCGCGGGCCTGTGGGACACCGCAGGCGCCGGTCAGCAGGGGGGCGCCGTCGCGGCGAGCGATCTCACTCGCTGGGATCGCGGCGATCATGCCCCGCGCGTGCAAAGCCTCCACGATGCGACGCCACTCGCCCTCAGCAGCCCAAACCCGCGCCGAGGCGGGGGCCGCGCGGCGCAGCCCAGGCGGCAGCAGCGCCAGCGACGGGTCGAGCAGCGCGTCGCGGACGAAGCCCGCGGCCTCGATCGAGGCGGCGACTCCCGGCGGCGGCAACCCGTCAAGCACCTGCTCCAGCGTGCGCTTGTGGGGCGCCGTGATCTCAGACCCTCCGCAACCGATCTCCCTATCCTTCAGGCGGTCCTCCCAGTTCAAATCCTTGGGCAGGCTGGTCTCGATCCCCATGGCCAGGAAGAGCCGCCGCGCCAAGCCGGCCAGGGCAGCCCGCTGGGCCGCGTCGGCACGGCCACGGCAACAGCGCGCAAACTTAAGCGAGCGGAAGCCCGCCTCGCAGTTGAGCGCCAGCACAGTGACAACCAGCCTGAAGTGGAGCGCCCCACAGTTCACATCGCTGAGGTCCTCGCCATCGCGCGCGACGTCGGTTTTCGCGATGGCAGGGTGCGGTGGCGGCAGCAGGTCACGCTGCAGCCGACCTCCCTTGGTGGCCATGTGCTCGCGTAGCTTCACATCGAGGGAGCCGCGAACGTAGTGGCCAAGTGAACCTGTGAAGGCTCTGAACAGGTTAAGCAAGATAGGGCCCACGTCAGAAAGTTATCTGAGCAGATCTCCCGCGGCCCCCGCAAGCTCCCGCCAGTCGACCAGCGGATCAGCCCAGGCTGAGCTATCTCCAGCAGCAGCGAGCGCGGGGGGCTGCAGCGGCGCGGCACGGCGAGGGGGCGGCGAGCGCGACCGAGAGGTCCAAGGCGGTCTGCTCGAGGGGGCGGCCTGCAAAGAACTGGCCGCGTTCGCGCAAGCATCATCTGCGCGGGCACCGTCATCACTCGGCCTCGCCGCAGAGCCGCAGCGTCGCGAGCTGCACCCCCTCCAGGGGGGCGGGGTCGCGAACCCTTGATCCTGCCCGCGCCCCGCCCCCTGCCGCCGCGGCGCCGCGGGCGACCGCGACCTGCCTCCCGAGGCGCCCCCGCCGCGGCCGCCGGCCCATCTGGCCTGATGCTGCGGCGCTCGGGGCTGCTGGCCAGCACGGCCCGCCTCGGGCGAGGGCTGTCGCCGCGCGGGGCCCGCTCGCCACGCGGCGAAGGGGGGCGCGCGGGGCCGCTGGAGGGCGCCGCGGCGGGGCCGCTCTCGGCCGCGGCCCCCGCCCGTCAGAGCCCTTGGAGCGGGAGCGGGGCTGGCCGCGCGCAGGGGGAAGAAGCGGCCCCTCCCGCGGCCGCGCCCTCCCCCTCGACCGCGCGAGAGCTGCCTGGCCGCCTGGGGCGAGCGAGGGGAGGGCGAGCGCGGTCTCGAGCCCTCCCGCGTCCTCTCCTCGGGTCAGCCCCTCGCATCGCCGCGGGCGGCGCTGCTGAAAGAACCGCGGGCTCTTTGCCTCCTCCAAGCGCCTGCGCAGCACTACCGAGCGCCGCGCCAAGTCCTGCTCGCCCATGGATGCTAGCGGCGGCCTCGCGTCGGACACGATCTCCAGCTCGCTCGTAACCTGCCAGCTCGCGTCCGACAGCGAAAGCTCCAGAGCCTTGGGCCGCTGCATCAGCACGTCGCACACCTGCGCCAAGGACCCGGACTCCAGCATATCCAACGCCGTCGCGAGCGTCTGCAACTCCCGCACCGTGTTGACCCGCAGCTGCGACACGGGATGGTGACCGAAGACGATCGCCTGCAAGTGCCCAACTACCTTCGGACGTGTCTCGCTGCCGTCCGCCCCCTCCCGCAGGCCCATCACGCGTGCGATGCTCTGCATCGCTTCGTCGTAGAGGGCGCCGGGGGACCTCTCCGCCAGCAGCCTCACATTGCCGCCGCGGGAGGGGGCGTCGCGAAAAAGCGGCTCCCCATCGCCATCACTGCGACTGGCCGACTCGCTCCGCTGGCGGCGTCTGCCGCGGCCTTCGAGCGCGCGAGGAGCAGCGCCTCCTCCTCCTCCTCCTCCTCCTCCTCCTCCTCCTCCTCCTCCTCCTCCTCCTCCTCCTCCTTCAGCGCGGGCCGCGGCAGCTGCAGCAAGGCGATCCGCAGCCGCGCCTCCAGGCAAGGGACCTGGCGCGCAGCGACCGCCGCCGCCGCCCCAGCCGCCGAAGGCGGTGGGGCGAACCCAGGGCTCCACCAGCCCGCGCGCCGAGCGAAGCCGCAGCCACTCCACGTGCAGCGCAGCGCGTCCAGCTTGAGCAGGCTCGCCACAGCGTGCGGGCCCCTGCGCGCACAGGTGCAGCAGCCCTGAGGGTCCTGCACCGCGCGCGGGGAAGGCGCCGTCCAAGCGCATCGCCTCTGCAGGCAGCGACGCTCCTTTGAACTGGGCGCTAAGATACTGCCCCCCCGCGCCAGGCAACCCGACCTCATCCACCTCGAACAACGCGGTGCCGCTGATGACTCCCGCGGGGTCGTGAGTAGGGACCTCGGGCGTCAGCCCCTTGGTCCAGCTCGCTCCCACCAAAGTCGAGGCCTGCGTCCAAGCGCCGTCTACCAAGGCGCCGAGCTGCACGCCTGCCGCTGGCACCACCGCGCCTCCAAACACCCCGAGGACGGCGCCCGCACTTGCGGGGCCCGCGGCGGGAGGCGCCCCAGCAGCTCTTGCACCGCCAGCGCCGCCTGCAGCCAGGGCGCCGACCAACGCCGCGCCAACGCCGCCACCTCCAGCAGCCGCTGCGCCAGGGCCCGCAGGCAGGGCGGGCGGCACGCCGCCTCCAGCACCGCCAAGGGCGCCAGGGAGCCCGGGCAAGGCGCCGACACCAGGCACCACAGGCGCCCCAGCCGCGCCGGCCGCGGGAGCTGCCGCCGCGGCGCCTGCCGCGCCATGGCCCACCAGGCAAAGCACCGCCTCCACGGCCGCGTCGGCCGCAGCCGCCAGCTCCGGCAGCTCCGACATCTCCGCGGCCTCGCCCATGAGCGTGTGCTGCAGGCTTGGCCTTAGCCTTCGCCTTGCCCTTGGCCTTGGCCTTCGGCGGCATTGGGGTCGAGCGTCGAAAGCGCCCCGAGCTGGGCCGCCAGCAAGCGCACCTGGTCGACCAGGAACGCTCTCTCCCGCAGCGCCAGCCGCGCCTCGCGGGCCGCCTGTCTCGCGAGCGCCAGGAGGTAGCAGAACTCGCAGACCTCCAGCAGCGCGCCCACCTCCGCCAACGCGAGGTTCTCCCCCGGGGCGACCTCCCCAGAGCACCAACCGCAAAAGCGGAGCCGCTGGGCCCGCGGGGCGGCGAGGCACGCGGAGGAGCCCTCAGGAAGCATACCCTCCTCGAGGGCCTCACTTGAAGCCAGAACAGCTGCCATGCATTCTCTGAACGGCCGATGCTACACGCTCTGTACCCTTAGCCCACACATTAAGCGTAAACGTATCTATATCTGACGCTCGTCGCTCGTGCCTGGCCCAGCCCATCCCGCCTCGGTCACGTCACGACTAGCGCCGGCGCCGTCTGGGAATTAGCCCTCCATCAGCACTCCCACAGACGGCGCCGTCGCGAATCGTGACATGACCGGCCGCCCCCCCTTCCTCGCCTTGGTCACGCCCGTTTTCGCCAAGGAGGTAACGAAACGGTGTCAACTGTCAGGGACCCCCCGAAAACCTCGAACGACACGAGGCCCGATCCGAGGCCCCCCGGAGAGGTGCGCGCCGGTGGAGCGGCGCCCGCTGAGCCCTCCGCCAGCGCGGCGCCTCACAGCCAGTCCTCCGTGGCGGTCCCCTCCTCGTGCGGCGATTCCTCCTGCCGCGGGGTGCACTCTTCTCTCTGCTCCTGATCCCCCGTGCCATGCCTCCTCTTCCTCTCTTCTCGCTCCTCCTCCTCCTGAGACTGTTGCTCCGCGGCTTGCCCTATGGGCCAGAGCTTGCGCGTGGGACGCCATGACGCGGCGCGGGGGGGGGGGGACGCAAAACAGAAAATCCGTGGGATGCGCCGAATCGCGAGATCGGTTCGGATCGGAACCCACATTTCCCACGATCCGATCGAACAAATCACAATGTTTTTCCTAAACGTCGGCCCCTCAGGTTCCGTTGGGACGATCAAGAACGGGTCGGGGGCGAAAAGCTATCCCCAGGGGGGGGCCGCTTTTTTAACAGATAATCGGATGCCTGTGAAAATGCGTCGGATGGGAGGCTGCATCAGCATGGAACTGAAATCGAATCGGAACCGAGCCGGCCAGGAGTCGCCACGGATTGGGCCGCCCCAACATGCTGGTCCGAATGCCCCCCGCATGTTAGGCTGGGCCCAGTTTCTTGCTCCCAGACTTCGGACAGAAACCCGGTCCACGCTCGGGCGGGCTGTAATGGACCCCGTTTGAGCCCCTGCTGGCTTCAAATGTAGGTCCCTTTCTTCACCCCCCAATTACAGGTCTTACCACCCGCCCGCCGACATGGAGACGTGGCGGGTGTGTGAGTGTGTGTGTGTGTGTGTGCGTGTGCGTGTGCGTGTGCGTGTGCGTGTGCGTGTGCGTGTGCGTGTGCGTGTGCGTGTGCGCGTGCGCGTGCGCGTGCGCGTGCGCGTGCGCGTGCGCGTGCGCGTGCGCGTGTGCGCGCGCGCGCGTGCGTGCGTGCGTGTGTGTGTGTGTGTGTGTGTGTGTGTGTGTGTGCGTGTGCGTGTGCGTGTGCGTGTGCGTGTGCGTGTGCGTGTGCGTGTGCGTGTGCGTGTGCGTGTGCGTGTGCGTGTGCGTGTGCGTGTGCGTGTGCGTGTGCGTGTGTAGTGTGCGTGTGCGTGTGCGTGTGCGTGCGCGTGTGCGTATGCGTGTGTGCGTGTGTGTGTGTGTGTGTTTGCGTGTGCATGTGTGTCTCTCGGTCGGGTTCACCTTAAGAAAAGGCCACGGCCGCGGGGAGGGAAGAGAACGGATGGCTCGTTCCACACATCCTGGAACCCAGAAGCGCTCGGGAGATGAACGCCAGTTCCACACCTACACAGTCCTGACCAGGCCCACGCTCCGAGCAGGGGTCGCTTCAAACAGCGCCCTCCTGGCCTCCAGGCTTGGCCAAAATGGCATATGCACCGCTGGGCCAAGGATTGGCCACAGGGTCGGTGTGGGTGCATGACCCATGACCGGCGCCCCCCGAAATCTCGCCGCTGGCTTCCGCTGGCGCGGAGTCGCCTCCGTTTTGCCTCTGGCGCCTGCTTCAGGTGCATTCCCCCTGTCCCGCTCTCGGCCCCACTCTTCCCCTCATCGGCTTCCCCCTCATCCTCGTCCTCCCCCCTCATCATCCGATCCTCGTCGTTGTCCCACAAGATCTCCGACGTCGCGATATGTTCTGGGCCTTTCGAGCTCTGACGAGATTTGGGCTGGCCCATCGGTACCCCCCGGGGGCCCACCTGGAATCGGAGATGCATCGCGATAGATCGGCGATAGCCCACCAGTGTGAATCCGCACGTTCCTGGGCGAGGTGGGCTTCAGCGCCCTACCGACGATGAACAGGCGATTGGGGGTCGGTGCGTTTCCCCCTGAGCCTATAAACCACAACCGTTGCCCCCGATCCTCGCTTCACATTGCAAAGCAAGGCGAGACAATACTACACCTGCGGGGGGGAAAGATGTCGCGCAGGGCATCCCCTAGCTGCGTTCGTGACACCTCAGAGCCTGCCGCAAAAGGACAACCTCCTTGCCGCAGATCGTGCCGCGAAGGCGCGCATAGCCTTACTACGGCCCCCAGATATCCAGCGGAGGCGGGAAACTTACCCGCCACTCACCGCCCCCCCTACTTGCACTCTCAGTGCAAGAACCCCTCGCTCCGTGGCAGGAGCGAAGTCGGGCCGACCGACCAGCCCGGCACGTTGCCTGCCCGCGAACCGCTGGCCAGCCTTCCGGCCTTCCGGGCCGAGTCGGCCGTCGGGCCCCAGGGGGAGGCCCGGGAGCTCCCGCCAGGGCCAATGGCAATGCGAATACTCCCTGCCGCCCGCCCCGGCCTGGGACCTATAGCCTCATTACCCCAGGGCCGCTGGCCAACCTTCCGGGCCGGGTCGGCCGTGGGGCCTGGGAGAGGCCCGGGAGATCCTCGGGGCCAGTGGCCGGCCGTACCAATACTCCCTGCGGGAGGCAATGCCAGTACCAATACTCCCTGCGGGAGGCAGGCGACCCGCCCCAGAAGGTGACGGGTGGAGCGTCAGGGCGCTGGCCAATCTTTCCGGGCGGGCGGAGTGTCGAGACCCGAGGCCAAGAGCCTCGAAGCGTTATACGCGTGCTTGTCGCAAAGTCCACAAGATCTCCACCACCACCCACCCCACACCCCTGAAGGGCCAACCGCCGGGCCTGCGACCATGTTCTGTCCGAAGACAGGTCGCTGCGGGACGTGAACGTCGGGGTGGTGACCTCGGAGTGCTCGGCCTGGGTCGGCAGGGGGGGGTGGGCAGAACAAATACTGATAAGTAGGAGGAGGTTGATGATGCTGATGCTGATGCTGATGCTGATGCTGATGCTGATGCTGATGCTGATGCTGATGATGATGATGATGATGATGATGATGATGATGATGATGATGATGATGATGATGATGATGATGATGATGATGATGATGATACAACGCGCGGTTTCGCAGTGTGTGTGCTCGGTGTTCATTGCGGTCGAGCACGGGCGGGTGGCGCAGTGAGTTTGAGACTCGCCACATCGCCCACCGCCAAGCTCGGCACAACACATCGAGTCTCCCCAAAATGTAATCAAATAATGCCGTGTGTCATTGCGGTCGAGCACGGGCGGGTGGCGCAGTGAGTTTGAGACTCGCCACATCGCCCACCGCCAAGCTCGGCACAACACATCGAGTCTCCCCAAAATGTAATCAAATAATGCCGTGTTCATCGCACTTGAGCATCAACAGATTCCGAGGGCCACGATTCGACAAACCAAACTCCAACCTCTGGGGTACGGGTGCCTGGATCGCTGACTCCCATGCTGTGTCTGAGTTCATGGGGTCGGAGGATCGCGCCGCACCGATGCAACGTCGATGACGTCGGCGCGAGGGAACTCGGACCCCAGATCTAGCCGCATCGCTGATGAATCAGCGATCCAGCGGGGTCCTCCCTCGGACCCTAGTTGGGAGGTCTGGAAAACAAACAACTGTATACCAGGGAGTGACTGAGATAGAGAAGGGGGGGGGGGATCTGACTTGAACGTGGACTAGAATCGAGCGCTAACTCCCATACGCTCGGCGCAAAAGGCAAGCGGGGACCGAACGAGGGCCCGAGAAGACGAACGAGCGGAGGGCAGCAGAAGGCACTCGGCGGAGGGTCAACGACCGAGCGAAGAACCCAGGCGAAAGGCACGAAGGGACAGCAACCGACCAAGCAACCAGAGCTCGAACGGCACGGAAGCAACGAATGCAGCACGCAAGCACAGCCTCCCTGCTTAGGAGATCACACGTCCTGCAGCGGCATACGCCGCTGCCCTTCTTTACATCATCTCTCACCACCTGGAGGAGGGAGGAAGACCTTGATCTGGACGGAGATGAAGAAGACCCGGGGCCGCAACCCCCCTCCAGAAGGCCCGCTGTCCACCCCGCGGCCCCTGGCGCCAGGGAGCGGCCCGCTAAGGCCGACGGCCGTCCACAAAACAATCAACACGGACGGGGCGACCGAATCTAGAGGACGACGGAACCAAACATAAACTGTCGTCGGTCCGCGCGGATTTCTGGCATCTGCGCTGGGCCCCCCCTGACGGCGCCTCAGCCTCGGGCGCTCTCCGCGCGCCAGGGAAGGGTGGGTCCAGCGCCGATCCAAGACATCCGCACGGACCTCCGAGGAATTCCTGGCTATTCCATGCTTCTTCCTCCGACACGGACGGACCGACCGAATCAGTGAACGCCACGCCCCGCTGCGACGGACGGGCACGTCCGACGACAGCAAATGCGCGGCCCCCGAGGTCCCGATGGCCCCACTGGGCCCGATGACGGGTCCAGTGCGGGCCGAGATCGATGAAACATGCCTGGAATGGAAAAATCGTATCGTTGGAGATCTGGGGATTTGCGATTCTCCGCAAGCCGTCCGCCCGCAGCTCTCGCTCACGAACTGCTCACCTCACTGCCGCGGGAAATTGGGGAGTGCCGTGGCCACCGGCCGCCGCCGCGCAGGCGCCCAGGGGCATCGCAGGCTCAGGAATCAGGACCGACGGGAAGGACTCAGACCTCCGATGTCGTGCCGTATGCTTTTCCCGAGAATTTTCTTTCGGTGGAGGGCAAAGGGTGAAATCTGAAATGCCGTTCCGATGGATCTCCGAGGCTTGAGTCTGCACAAGGTGAATCGCAAGACGGATTGGCTTTCGATTTATTTTCGGCGATAAAGGGCAATATAGGCGGGGGGAGGGGCCATAGGGTGGTATAGTGTCACGCCACCCCCCCGCCGTGCGCGCACGGCGGCAGTGCCTGGAGCGCACTGGGGGGGAGGGGCGTTACATTATGGGGGGGGAGGGGGGGCTGGGGGCTATACTTAAGCAATAACAGAAACACGCTCCACCCGAAGAGGAACAAAAAACGGCATAAACATAAACTGTTGGAGCTCCGCGCGGATTTCTTGGATCTGACTTGGACCCCCGTCCCTGGCGCGCGGGGCTCGCCAAGGGCGGCGCCGGAGACGCCGCCACACGGGTCCGGCGCGGTTCCAATATACCCGCGCGGAGCTCCAAAAGGTTTTGTTTATGCCGTTCTTTGTTCCTTCGAGCCCGACCTGCAAGGGCCCCTCCTCTTCCTCCTTCTCCTCCACCTCTTCCTCCTCCACTCCTTCTCCTTATCAGTCACTTCTCCCTGTCGCACCCCCAAGCCAGGTTTTAGGGCGGGCTGGGCGTGTCGCCTGAAACTTCCCTATCACTCATGATTCTGAAAATGAAAAATGACAACAATTCACAAATGGGGGGCGGGTGGTTTTCAAAATGTGGCTCCCGCCTCAGCGCCGCGCGCACTCCTTCTGCAAAAACTGCAGGAGCTTCACGGATTGAGGGTAAACCGTTTTCAAAATGTGGTTCCCTCCGTAGCGTCGCGCGCATTCTTTTTAAACAGTTGCAATAGTTTCACGGATTGAGGGCGGTTCCGTTTCAAAGCGTAGCTCTCGCCTGAGCGCCGCGAACATTCTTTCAAACAGTTTACAATAAATTCACGACTTCCCACGATCAGCGTACCAGGAAGAGAGATCCAGGATTTCACGGGCGCAGCAGTTATGTTGATTCGCGGTGTTGAAATCTCAAGACTAGCCTTCTGGCACGATCCAGGACCGTCAAGACGCAACAGTCAGGTTGATCCGTCGCGTTGGAATCCCGAGAACAATGTTTTGGCATGCTTCCAACGGTTGTCTTCATGCGGTTGTCTTCCAACGAAGCAAGTCCGTCAATGGAAATGAACCGTTGTAGGGGCCTATGAAGAGAGAACTTGGTGGGAGGGTGTATTCCAACATCGTTGATGGCTATTGGGTTTACACTGGTCTTCCTGTCTTCGTGATCATCCTCTTCCTCCTCCTTCTCCTTATCATCCTCCCCTTCCTCCTCCATTCCTTTCCCTTGTAAGCAATTTCTCCCAGTCGCAATCCGAAGCCAAACTTTAGGGCGGGCCGGGCGTTTCGCTTGAGACTTCCGCACCGTTTATGACAATCAAGTTTCGACAGCGACAACAGCTTCACAAATGGAGGACGGGTCGTTTTCAAAAGGTAGCTCTCGCTTTAGCGCCGCGCGCATCTTTTTTATCAAAACGTTGCAAGAGATCCGCGGCTTGTTTTCAAAATGTGGTTCTCGCCTTAGCGCCCCGTACACTCGTTTTTCAAACATTGCTAAAGTTTCACGGGCTGGGGGCGGTTGGTTTTGCAAAATGTGATTCTCGCCTCAGCGCCGTGCACATTTCTTTTTTACTTGCAAATGCTTCATGGGATCCCCGCGTACAAGAAATTGCGCGTTTGGAAAATAACCGGAGCATGAGGATGCAACGGTTACGTTCGCCCGCGGTGTTGAAGTCCCAAGAATGGCGTTCTGGCACGGTTCAGGAGTGTCAAGACGCATCAGTCAAGTTGATCCGTGGCGTTTGACTCCCGAGAACAATGTGTTTTGGCGAGCTCCAGGATCTTCAAAGGGTTGGTTGTCTTCCAACGAGGCAGATCCGTCAATGGAAATAAACCTTTGTAGGGGCCTATGAAGAGGGAGTTTGGTGGGGGATGTGTGTATTCCAACACCGTTGACGGCTCTTGGGTTTACACTGGTCCTCGAGCGTACCCAGGGGGGGCGCCGCAGTCCTAGAGTTCACCCAGCCGCGCCCGAGGTGGCACAGGCCGCCAGTGTGGCAGGCCTCCTCACCCGGTGGCTGACTGCCGCCAACGCTGACACACACGCCCGCTCTGCGAGGGGGGATTCGGGAGGGAACGGAGGGAGTTGCGAAGATAACGCGCGCACACAAACAACAATCGAGGCTCGAGACAGGTCGATGACCCCAAACCTCTGAATTGGACATTCGGGCAAAGAACATTGGACACACTGAGCAAGAAGGCGCTTAACGCGTGGACAGAACCAGACCTGTGCGAACCTACAGGGGGCAGGACACCCGAACATGCAAGGATTATCTTCTTGAAAACGTGATCCCCCCACCCCGCTCAGAGCTTTCAGGACAGAGAAGCTCCAAACCATGGGGGGGGAGGAGAGCAGAGTACTGAGGGCTTGCCAGCCGATGCCGCGAATCGCAATACTATGACTAGGAAACCATTGGAGAAGACGTGCCTGGAAGAGCTGTGGCAGTTTGTCTGAATGCACTTCGAAGTTGAAGCTCGCGATATACAATGCGTTGAGGATGTGACGCTTTAACATGGGCTGAGCACGATGTCTATCCTTGACTGTTGCCATAGCATGTTGAGCGCGAAGGAAAAGGAGGGGATGAGACGGAAAGCCGCTGTACGCATCAGCCAAAACCGCCGCCAATGCAGGGGATTCCCAGAAGTCAGGCTACGGGCGCCCACGAAGAGCGCGGACAACTGAAGCATCATCTGCACAAACCCGCTGGAGCTCTTGGAGGATCTGAGGCCAACCCGAAAACGTATAGTGACTAGCACGGATCATCTGAGCAGCATTGACCAACCAGAGAATCGGGACCTCGGGGCCGCCCCATCTCGATAAGTTGCCCCACGAGTCTTGGCAGAAGCAACAAAACGGCAAGCGGAAGACGGAGGCGAGGATGCTGTACTCTCGCACTCGCAGCTCGCGCGGCACTGGCTGGAACTGGCCGACGTAGGAGAGCGCGCTAACGGCTCGCGCGGTGCACGGCGTGGCCGTCGAGGAAATCGGGGCCCCTGCTTCGCTGGCCCTCGTGAACCTCGAAGTGCACTTCTGGAATGGGGCCTCCCAAGACGTGATGGGGAAACCGCGGGGGCCCAGGAACATCCCAAGATACTTGACCAGGGAAGCGACCGAAATGCTAGCCCAGGAGGGGGCCAGGCGTCTCAGATCATCCTCGCACCGCTTCTTAAGCTCGGGGGCGAGGGGGCCCGCAGGAGGAACCAATGTACACTTCGGAGCTTTCAGGGGCAAGTGGGCCAGCCGATCGGCCGCGCGAGAAACATCAAAAAGCCGAGGGGCGGCACGGGTGGCTTTCAGAACAGATCCTACATCGTCGGCGCACGCTCTTGAAACCACGAGCCCTGGGCGCTCGATCCTCTGGCGGAACGGCCGCGGGAATGGGCCCATGCCCCGCGCGAAGAACGCGCCGCTGGCAGGGCGCCCTTGAAAAATACCGCCAAGGATCGCGCAAACCACCTTCGCTTGGCCACCTATCGGGGCCAGGCAGACGACGTCCTGATACAAGAACTCGAGGAAGCAGGGAAGAGGGGGAGGGACACCCAGGCGACCGAGAACCAGGAACAACCACTCGTGGGCGAGCGAAAGCGAGGAGCGAGGAGGCACTGGAGAGACGTCACCGGCGAGGGCTGCATACTGTAGAGTCTGGCCAAACCGTGGAGCTCGACAGTGTCGTTGCCGAACTGGCGCGCTGGTAAAAACAATCCACTCTGGGAAGAGTCCGTGAATTTCGTAAGAACTGTGGTAAGGGATCTTACACAGGAGCCAGCCAGCATTTTGTTGTCGCAGTTCTTTAGCCCCAAGACCCGCGTGTCCATTGGCTTCCGAATCATACCACCTCCCAGACTGTCTCCCTCCTCTTTCCCCTTAGGAATACAGGCACCGAAGAATAAATTGAACCCGCGCAAGAGCTGGTTGCCTGCACGGACCCACTGGAGGCACTGGCAGAGGATCGCGGCGCCGTGAGGGGGGGAGGAGGACAAGGTGGGAAAGAGGGGGAGGAGGAGGGAGGGAAGGGAGGTGATCGCAGAAGGCAGGCCCACCCCAGAGGAACCCTGCCGCCGGGCCTGCGACCACAAGCGGGCCGAGGCCAGGGCGCTCCGGGACGCGGAGAGCGGGGTGCGCTCGATGTGCACGGCCTGAGTCGGCGGGGGGTAGCCCCAGTGGAAGGAGGAGGTATACAGTACGATACGATACAGCTCGTGGAGTTCTGATCTGCTACAGCAACCAATCATGGCCGACACTGCCGATCTACTGGGGAACTCGGAGGAATCCGTTGAGCTATCTGTAGGTTGTCGTACCCCGCGGGGTAGCGGCCACCCCGCGCCGTGCGCCAACACCCCGCAGGGCCTGTGGGCCATCGGCGCCGGGTTGGGAGCGCCCTTCAAGGAACCATCTACCTTGCAACTAGCTCCTGCAGGTTCGCGTCGTGACGACCCTGGCGCTGGATTCTGACACCGCGTGGATCCTTCAACATCGACCAATTCTGGGCCGTCAGTGGTCCTCAACGTTGAACGCCAGCGGCGGTGTCGCCGCCGGTCGACACGACGTGAACCTACCGTCGCCCACTCGGCACGGCGGCCACACATCCTTCTAGCTGGTACACCTACTGCGCTCTGTCTCGAAGGTCTTGCGCGCGCCCCACGCAAGCGTGAAGGGGGGCCCACCACAGTTGCCTCCCCACGGCATCCCTTCAGAGGGCAGGCGCGACAGAAGTGAACCCGCAGCCCTGTTGGGCGGCCCACGGAGCTCTTTCAGGTGCTTCCGTCGCTGCGCCTCGGAGCCAAAGGAGGAGGACGCTGGGCGCTGGGTGTCCACGGAAGAGCTCCGCAGGGGAGCTGCTGCCAGAAACGGTACCTGCAGAGAAAGATTGCGCGCGGAAGGAGGCCGGCGACCAGGAGACCAATCGTCCCGCCGACGGCATGGGCATGGGCCGCCATGGGGCAGAACTCACTCACCGTGGCCTGGCGTCGGCTGGACTAGGGATGGCCAAAATATCATGGATCGAGAGCACGAGCCCCTTGGTCGAAGTTCCAATGCACCTTGCACCGCGAGGAGGCCTGCAGAAACAAAACACGTGCAAAGGTGGAGGGCCACACGGCAGAGAGCACGTGAGCACCCAGCCCAAACAAGGGCTCTGCCCCTGATCCTCGTCGTGCCAGCTGCAAGTGGAAGGAGAGACGGAATGAGGATGATCACGGACCAAGCCTCCGATGGCAAACGGTGGATGGGAGGAGGGAGGCAGGAGGGAGAAAGACTGTCCTCCGCCTCAACGCGCTGCGAGCAGACAAACAAAATTTGGCGTTCTTGCCGAAATGATCGGCCGCCGGGGGTGTCGTTTCTTGGACCCGGGGCCGTCAACACAACTGCTCGGGATGCACCGCCAGTCCCGGTGAAGTGGTCGAAGTCCCCAGGGGGGCCACGTCAAGAAGAACTGCGTCGTCGGAGAGGGGCGCGGGGATGAACAGAACGAGGAGGGAGGGCGACGGATCAGAAGGAAGAAGGAATGCACAAGGGGAGAAGGCCTCGAACGAGTCGAGATCGGGTGATAGAGGTGCCGAGCCCGATTCTCCCCGATCCTCTCCAGAGGACCGTTCTGACAAGGATTTCGAAGTGAATGCAGCTGTGGCGACTCAGGAGGGGCAATGGTACTTATCATAATATTATGGTTACCTTTTCTCCTCTGACGGGAGGGTCAATCCGCCCTCGCTCTTTGCACCCAAGGGCCAGTGTCGGGCCTAGTGGCTGTCAATAACTGCTCGGAATGAAGAGCTGGCGGTTCTTGTGGGAGAGGATTCGACAGGTTAGGCGGCCACCCATCGAACAAACACCGGAGCGCCGGATGTCTGGAAGGGAAGAGGAGTACTTTACAGTCAAGACGCTGCGACATGGACAACTTTGGGCTGAGAATGGGCTCTTGTTTTCGAGCCCTTGGATCTGGGCGGGCGAACCTATTCGAGACCAAGGTTCGCCACAACCAAACAAACCCTTCGCTCCTTCAATGATTATCCATCGTTCGTTTCCCACATGCTTAATGGGGCTATGGTTTTCTGCTCACCCGCGTCTCCTGCCCACCTTTTCCGAAGACTCTTCCTCGTTTCCTTCCTCCCCCCCTCCTGCCCCTCCCGCGTCTCACCTCACACTTCCACCACAACTGCAATCACTGCGCACGCACCACCACTGACATACACGCGTGCATACATGCAGGCACACGCATAGAAACGCAAATGCAATCGCTCCGCACTTGAGACCAGAGGGGATGCGCATGGGGTGGGTGCTCCCTGAACTCGGCCTCTATCAGCGACGCGCTCGAAAGGCGTGACAAGCGGGGCACTTCCAGTTCCCGGGCGCAAAGAAGTGTGCGCAAAAGGGGGGTCCCTGAGCGCGCCCTCAATCCGCGCCGCGCTCGCAGGGAGTGGCAGGCCATTTTTCCTCGACACCAGAAGGTGTGCGCACCCGACCTCCACGCGTGACACATTCGCAGAAAGTGGCAGGCGTGGCATTGCCTCGACACCGGAACGGGTTGCGCCATGGGTGGGAAGAGGGTGGGGACGCTATCCGCTTCAGGCTCGCAAAGCGTGGCACGCGCGGCATTTTGTCGAAACCAGAGGGGGTGCACAGTGGGTGGGAACGCTGTCCGCCCACGTTCGCAAAACGTGGCCAGCGTGGCACATTCCCGAGGCCAGAAACAGTGGGGGGCGCTATGCGCCCCACGCTCGTAGAAAGGTGGCAGACGCAGCATTTTCTCGACCCCGGAAATGGTACGCAGGGGGTGGGGGCGCTATCCGCCCCACGCTCGCAATGCGTGGCAGCCGTGGCACTTTCTCAGCACCAGAAGGTGTGCGCAAGGGGTTAGGGCGCCATCCGCCCCACACGGTGGGGGGCGCTACCCGCCCAATGCTCGCATGGCATCCTCGACGCCATCGGGGGTGCACCGCACCTGCGCCGCTAGAGGGGCCTGCGATGTTTTCCTGCGGACAAGACGACGGGATGAGGAGCACAATGGATAACGGAAGAGGAGGAGGAGGAGGAGGAGGAGGAGGAGGAGGAGGAGGAGGAGGAGGAGGAGGAGGAGGAGGCGGCGCGAAGCTTTGCCCACCCCACCGTTTTCTGGAACCCCGAGGTTGCACATTGCTCGCGGCGTGCAGGTCCAGGGATGCGCCGCATGTCGCACCAACATTGGGCATGTCACACGGTGTAGCCACTATCCTGTGCGAATCAGACGCGCGCCCCAGCAGAAGCCAGCCCTCGCGATCTGCAGATGCGGCGCACATGCATGGATCAGCACAGAGCTGACTAGAACGCGAGCGCTGCCCGATCACAGCCAACCCAGGACGCGGGGGAGATCGGGCGAGGGATGGAGAAGGTGGAGGGAGAGGGGGGGAATGAGGAGCAGGCGATGACAGAGAGGGAAAGGCGAGGGGGACCGGCAGGCCCCTTGAGCACGGCCCCGGGGCGTGGAATGCACATCGCGGCGGGGCGATGTCCTAGCAGGGGCGGTGGGTATTCTCATGGGGCCCTGGGACGCATAAAAGTACCCACCGGGCGCCCCTGAGCGGGCTCGTGCTTCCAGACCCTTTGCGGTTGCCTATCGAACTACCCATTCATTAGCTTTTCCGACGCTTGCTTCTTGCCCCCGCCACCTCATCCTTAGCCTTCCTATTCTCCGCTCTCCCTTCTCGTTTCTCTTTCCGTTCTTCCTCCTCCTCCTCCTCCTCCTCCTGTGGCCTTCCCGCTTTTACAGCGTAATGTCATTGGAATCGGGTCGAATACTGGCAAACCCTGCAACACCCTCTTCCGCATTTCCGATTTGGGCCGTCCCAGTCGCCCCCTGCGGCGGAGCGACGTTCGGTCCTTGTTCGCGTCGGCCCACCGAATTTTTGTTTTTACTTGTGGCGCCGTTTGTCATGTACCGTCTTTTTGTTGCCTCAGCGGCATTCGCTGCAGCGGTTGTTGACAACAAAAACATTGCTGAGACGTGGAGGAGGAAGATGGTCGAGGCAAGGGGAAGCGCGGTCTCAAGAGGAGTTCTCCGTCTCACACATGCCGCACGCCATCATTTGCATCCGGAACTCAAAACTTGTGAAAGCTTGCATTGCATACAAATGTGTAAACACCTTGGCTCAAGCTGACTCAGCCCACCTGTGTTTTCATGCAGGCGCGCTGGTGCGCCCGGATTTTCCACTCGGACGCAGCACGCGTTCCCTTCCTGCGCGCCGGAGCCAATGCGCCCGACGTTGCCAGGGACGCGCTACCACTTCCGTGCGTGAGTCTGAAGAATGCTATGGTTGAGATGGGCTTCGAGCTTTCTTTAAAATGCTTGGCAAGCTACAGTAGCAAGCAAGGCGTTGATCGACCATATGACGTGGTGCACTGCGCATTCAAAGCGAGCCGCCCACAGCTCTGGAAGTGGTGGCGTCACACGTCACTCATCAAGCAGAACGGCTTGGCAAAACAAGGCAGCGACGATGCGAGGAACACGTGCTTGATCAGAAGGCCACACCTGCGCAGGTTTTCACCACGCAGCGGTCTCTGGGTGTTTTGCTGGTTACCTGTGTTCGTTCCACTGGCGCCCTTCGCATCGCGAATTTCAATGGTAAGCGACGGCTGCTCTCGCTTCGACCACCCGACAGACGCTGGGTGCGACTCACATGCGTTGACGATGCGCGCCGGCTGAGCGCTGGCCGATATCGTTACGTGTGGCGAACACTGCACCATCCGTGTTGGCGGTCGCCACAAAATCGTCATTCGCATATGAACCCGCACTGTCAGCGCGTATACAATGACGAAGCTTGGCGAACTGCATTCCGAGATTGAGATGGCGGCCGCGGGCGTCCACGCAACGCGGGGCGGAGGTGCGACGCTGGCCGCGCCGCTTTCACTCCACTCGGGCCTCGCATGGAGTCACCAGCATAAGCGACACTACCGCCGAGGCGCCCAAGCCCCTCCAGCATCAGACGTCGACTTACCATCGACGGTCTCTATCGTCTAAGCGCGAGCAATGGCAGCGGGGGCGAGACCGTCCGACAGCATGGAAGAGTCCATTCAGAAACGGAGACGGCGCGTTGACGCTTGCCGGGCCGACAACAGGCTCTCTGTCGGATCCCGCTGGAGCAGCCAGCGGCTTTCTGAATACTACAGGCTGCACAAGTCTGCATATGAGCTTCGCGAACGATCCCCCCCGAAACCCACTCGCCAGAGTTCGATATCCCAGCTGCGCGTCACGGACGTCCCCTTGTTGCTCTGGGCACTGTCTCGCAGCGGCGTGTGTGTCGATGTGCTGATGGAGTTCTGACGGGCTTATGGCGCCTCCAGAGACTGTGTCGAATATGGTAATATCAGAGACGACGTGCTCTACATTTAACTGTGGAGACTGTGTGCCGAAGGTGGATGTACAAATTCAGATCTGTCGACATGTACTTTGACCGCGCTGATCGGAGATTCCATGAAGAGTGGTTGCGGTCACCTGTGGCAACGCTACAAACAAACTCTGAACATGATTTCATGTCCCTCGTTCCCACGTCGTCGCCGGATGAAGAACACGTCGAACAGGAGGAGGAGGACGAGGAAAACAGGAAGGACGGAGTGAAGGGAGTGAGGAGGACGGGGCCTCCGGCGCGGATGATGATAATATCGCACGTTTTCGCAATGTTCGGAAATGCACAATGCGACATCGAAAGTGCTATTATGGTCGCACCGTGACTGTAGAAAGGGCGGGGGAGGAGGAGGGAAGGGCTCACAAGAGGAGGTGAGCGGAGAAGCGTGAGAAGGAGGAAGGAGTACGTAGGAGGAGAAGGAGCACGTAGGATGAGGCGAGGGCTGTCCATCACGGGCGCCGAACATGTCCATACCCACGCCCTCGCGGTCCGGATCTCAGGGCGCGATGCCATGGATATGAGTTCGTGTGGACGCGGTCCGCGCGGAGAGTCTGCGAACAAAAACGCCCCGTATCCAAAACCTATTCTTAAAAACGCAGAGGGCGTAATCCTTCCGTTTGGGAGATCCACCCTTTTAAAAATGCTGGGCGCCCTCTGTGGTACGTCTTCAGATCCGGGATCGGCCCGTGGCGAACCTGCCCGCTGCATGCCCGTTTCCACTACGATTTTAGATGTCACAATGCCGCCTGCCTGCCACTCCCTTTCTGGGATACCGTTTTCAACGCGTTCTGGCAAAGCCAGAAGCGAAAAGTGGAAGACTGAAACACGACGGCCCCAGCACTTTCAACAGCAAGTAAGATTCAGGGGGCCTCCAAGAGGACCCCAGGAGAGCCGCAAAGGTCAAACTACTAACTCTCCTTCGGGCCTCCGGCGGTCCAAGACGGTCCAAGAGATCCAGAAAATGGCCCCTAAAGAGCACAAGACTCTTCGAATAAGGCCCCTAAGCGATCCATGAGCCCTGTAGAAAATGGCCTCCAAGACGCCTCCAAGACAGCGAATCTGGCACCAAGATGGCCCAAGATGGCAGACGATTCTTAAAGGACGCCTCCAAGACAGTCTAAGAGGCCTCGAGGAGGGCCTCGAAGAGGACCCCTCGGCGGGCCCACAGAAGCCCAAATGGCAGATCGTCTTGAGGTTTGTGAAAAGTGATGGCATTTACTCCTTTTCGGGCCTCCGACGGCCCGAGGCGGCCCAAGAAGCCCCCTGGATGGCCCCAAGACGGTCCAAAGGGCCTGCACGATGGCCCCAAGTATGTAGGGCCCAAGAGGTCCCAAAGACGGCCCCAATAGCCTAAGACGACTCAATAACCCCGCAAAGAGGCCTCCAAGCCAAGAGGCATCCAAGAGGATCCCCAGGAGGTCTCGCAAATGCCAACTTTGAAAGATTTACGCGGTCGCTCCTGTTCTAGCCTCCGACGGCCCAAGACGGCCCACACAAGCCTGCAACATAGCGCCAAAACGGTTCAAGAAGCCTCAGAGAGGGCCCAGAGACGAGCCAATAGGGTCCCAAAACACACGAGGACCCCAGGATGGCCGAACAGGGCCTCAAGACGACCGTAGAGACCTCCAAGAGACCTCAAAGACGACCCACTGAGGCCCCCAAGACGGCCTCCGAAGACCGAGAGGCCCCTTATGGGCCCCCAGAAACCTCCCAGAGGTCGCAGGAGGCCGTCATGAAGCCCTCTGAGGCCCCCGAGAAGCCCCCAGGAAACCCTCAGGAGCTCCGAAGAGGCCCTCAAACGGCCTCCTCGTCCTCTTCCTCCTCCTCCTCCTCCTCCTGATTCTGCTCCTCATCCCTTTCTCTCTCTCTCTCTCTTTCTCTCTCTTTCTCTCTCTCTTTCTCTCTCTCTCTCTCTCTCTCTCTCTCCCCCTATTTCTCACCACGTGTTCCCGCAAGGGTTTTCACAATGGCTCGATGCAGTACAGATTAAACTACTCAGCATGACTTTGCTGCTCGAGCACCACGCCAGGCCACGGCTGGGACCGTCAGTGTGAGGGTCTTGGGGAGGCACTCGTGGATGTGTAGCCCCAGAGACTTGGAATCTGCGCTCTGGGGCAATAGAAAAACATTGTGCACTCATGCCGCCGATGCTGGAACCCATGGATCCAAACATGCTGGCGTCCCACTTCCAATTCCATCGCCTTCCACCGACCTTCCGTCGGGGGGCCGGCCGCCACTACCGTTGGGTGGGGCGTCTGCCCCTCCCAGCGGATTTTGGACGAAACATGAAAAGACCCCAAACATATTCAAAACGTAATCGAAAACGATCAAACGTCATTGTCACCAGACTATTGTGTGACTATCTTTGCATATTCCCCCCTGTAGAGGGACACGCCCGACTGAAGACTACCACCAGCCTTCCGCCAAGCCTCCGCCGATGGCGAGCGAGAGATACGCCGCAGGCGAGGGCCCTCTCTTGTTGGAGAAGCAGCAAGCAAGGAAGTCCCACACGCCCCCGAGGCGGGACACCCCGCGCCCAGGGCGAGGAAGCGCAGCGCCCCGCCCCCGAGGGGGCCTGCACGCGCGGGGAAGGCCGCGGGCTCAGGGCGCAGTCCTCGAGGCTGTCCGCCGCCCGGCGCGCCGCCGCGGCGGAGCGCCGGAAGCCCGACAGCACCGCCTGGTAGTCCTCCAGCACCTGCGGGCCCGCCCCGCCCCGCCCCGCACTCGCCCCCTTTGAGAGCGCCGACGGGGCACGCGAGCGGCAACGCGGCCGACTGCGAAGGGGTTCGACAATGCGCCCGCCGTCAGCGTGCAACCGCCGCAGCAAGAACTGGCAACGGCGGGCTGCCCTGGAAGGTGGAGCGGTGCCCGCCGGAAGAGATCGGCAACGAAATCTTCGATCCGACGGCTTCTCCAGTCCCACACCGACTGACTGATGTCTCGACATACAGTGAAGAACTTTTGCGTCGAGTGTCGCGGCGGCGGCACTGGCGACAGGCTATGTAGCCTCTCGCTCCGCTCCGCGGGGCGGGAGGCTGGGAAAAGCTCAGGAGGTTGACGCTAGGGAAAGGAGGCGTGTTCAACGTGTCGCGTCGAAGCGTGGTGGGCCAGAACCGGTGGCGCAACACGCGAACCAACAGTACCCGACCGTAATCCCCAGAGTGGAGCCCACGAGGGTCCCAAGACGGGGCTGAAAAGTCTCCAAGGACCGAGGCAGCCCCCGGCGGCTCAAATGGCCCCAATACCTGCCCTAGCTGGCACGCGCGCCGTGAGGTCACAAGCCCAGAATAGCGCTTACTATGGCCCCGGAGGGGGCCAAGGTTTGCAGATCTGCCTGCTGGCTCATTCTTCTCGCTGGCAACAACAAGGCGAGTAATTTCTCAACGCAGCTCCGTAAGCGTGGGGAAGAGGAGCGTGCAGGGGAGCAGAGTCAGAGTGAGAAAGTCCAGCGCTGAGGCGTGGGGGAATCGCGTTAGGGGGGGGGCTCGGCGCGCCTGAGAGGAGAGCCTGGAACGGCGGGCGGAGTGGCACGGGAAGTGTGCTTGTTGAACAATCTGGTATGGCTCGCTGTCCCAAGCTTGGCTCTCCCTCTGGGATGCCCCTGACGCCCCAGGGGACCCCGGAGGCTTCTGCAGGCCCAGGAGAACATAACACAGACACGCAAAACAAACAACATGAGCTTCCAAACACCTGGATCCTCCCTTCCCATCAAAATGGCTCCTCATCTAACTCCTCCTGGTACGCTCCCCCCTCGTTCCCATACTTCTCCACATGAGACCACGCGGCATTGTCAAAATCACTACCATAACCATCATCATCACCATCACCATCACCATTATCATGATCATCATCATCATCATCATCATCATCATCATCATCATCATCATCAGCAGCAGCAGCAGCAGCAGCACCAGCATCAGCCTCAGCATCAGCAACAGCATCATCATCACCATCATCATCATCATCATCCTCAGCCTCATCCGCATCCTCATCATCAGCAGCATCATCATCCTCATCCTCATCCTCATCCTCCTCCTCCTCCTCATCATCAGTATCATCCTCATCCTCATCCTCCTCATCGTTATCATCATCCTCACAATCATCATCATCCTCATCAACATCTCCATCATCATCAGCAGCATCATACCACAAGCATCAACATCAGCATCAACATCAATAGCATCATCATCATCATCATCATCATCATCATCATCATCATCATCATCATCATCATCATCATCATCATCATCATCATCATCATCATCATCATCATCATCATCATCATCATCATCATCAACATCATCATCATCAACATCATCATCATCATCATCATCATCACCATCACCATCATCACCATCATCATCATCATCATCATCATCATCATCATCATCATCATCATCATCATCATCACATCATCATCAGCATCAGCATCAGCATCATCATCAGCATCAGCATCATCATCATCATCATCATCATCATCATCATCATCATCATCATCATCATCGAGAGAGAGAGAGAGAGAGAGAGAGAGAGAGAGAGAGAGAGAGAGAGAGAGAGAGCGTGATCCACCGCCGCTTTACTGTGGAAAATTCTCCCTCTCTTCCTCTGGAACCCTGGGTTCCCCCCCCCCCCTCCGAAAATCCCCCCCCCTCCTGCAAGACCCCTCCCCCCCCTTCCCCCCGGCAAAACCCCCTCCCTCCCCTACCCCCCCCCGCCTCCCCCCCTCGGGGGGTCACTACCGGTTCGACCTCCCCCCCCCCTCCGGAAAACCGGGGGGGGTCACTACCGGTTCGAACCCCCCTTCCCTCCTCAGAAAACCGGAGAGGGGTCACTACCGGTTCGAACCCCCTCCCCTCCAGAAAACCGGGGGGGGTCCACTACAGGTTCGAACACCCCCCCCCCCGAAAACCGGGGGGGGTCACTACTGGTTCGAACCAGTAGTGACCCCCCCTCGAAAACCGGGGGGATTCGATCGAATCCCCCCCCCGTCCCCACCACTGTCCCACTGTCACCACTGTTCCCACCATTGTCCCCGCTGTGCCCACCAGTGCCCCCACCAGTGTCTCACTGTCCCCACTCTCCCCGCCATTGTTCCACCACGATCCCACTCTCCCCACTTTCCCCACCACTGTCCCACTGTCCCCACTGTTCCCACCACTGTCCCACTCCCCCCGCCGCTGTCCCACTGTGCTGTCCCACCGTCCCCACCGTGTCCCACTGTCCCCACCACTTTCCCCACTGTACTACTGTCCCACCACTGTCCTCACCACCGCCTTCACCACTGTCCCCACCACTACCGTCCCCACCACTGTCCCACTGTCCCCACAACTGTCCCGCTGTCCCGGCACCACTGTGCCCACCACCACCGTCCCCACCACTGCCCGAACCACTGCCCCACTGTCCCCGCACCTCTGTCCCACCACTGTCCCAACATCCCCAGCATTCTCCAACTGTCCCGAGGAGTGGGCATCGCTTGCCGGCGGCGATGGGGGGGGGTTCGAACCGGTAGTGACCCCCCACGGTTTTCGAGGGGGAGGGTTCGAACAGGTAGTGACCCCCCCCGGTTTTCGAGAGGGGAGGGGGGGGTCGAACCAGTAGTGACCCCCCCCCCCTTTTCATAATGGACTGGGAAAGGGGGGGGAGGGGTCGAACCGGTAGTGACCCCCCCCCCGTATTTCGAGGGGGGGGGGAGACGGGTTAGGAACCCCCAGTGACCCCCCCTGGTTTTCCGCCAGCAGCGGTAGAACACGCCCTTTCTCATCATCAGCAGCATCATCATCAGCATCACTATCGACATCATCCAGTGTAGCCATCCATGGCGGGGATCGCCCCAGCAATGCAGGACATCGAAGCGAATCCAATGATATATTCAATCTCGCGACAGCCACCACAAACTTTGCACCAACGACTTTGACGATGTGAATGGCCACTTCGGTCTCAGTGTTGCCTCCTGTGTCCATTATTCCGAGACCCACCTCGACTTGGTTCGACCGCACGACCGCACCGCCAAGAGCGCAGCGATGCACTGGACACAAAGTGGCCTGGCGAGCGAGCTGCCGGCCTGAGAGCGGGGTGCAAGGACAAGCTGAGCCAAAGCAGCCAGGGCCAGCTTGTCCTCAAATGTTGAGGGTACGCTTGGCCTGCATCTACGCACAGACCCATGCCTTCACAGAGAGAATTGGAACTGTCATAGCTTTGTTATAATGCTGGAAGGAAAAGCACCCATAATGTCAACCGAGCAGCAGCGGGACAAAAAAAACAAGCTGCTACAAAAATATGCTGCTGGAATCGTGCTAGGAAGCGTTGAATCAATCACTATGTTAGATGGCCCCTGGTGGTCGACACCAATGTACCTGTGTACTGGCTCTCATATGGCCTAGTTAGCCGCTGCTGCAACGCGAATTCCAGATGGCTCCGGCGCCGTGAAACTTCGAACGGGATCGCGGACCACATGGTTTGTCAAGGCCGCTCCAGAAACCCTGAAGCCTAAAGAATGACATCTCCGCCACTGTGCCTCTGGCACGAAGTCGAGTGCCCCAAGGCTTATGCAGCACTGAGGGGTAGACATTGTGCTGCTGCTGCTGCTGCTGCTGCAGCGAACATTGTAAGTCTCGAAGGGCCTGGGACAATCGTTTCCCAAGCCTTTCAAAGGTTTTCTATGCTGGCTCCCGTGAGTTCTGAGGTGCTTTCTGCGCCTGCTGTCGACGCTATGCCCCCCCCAAGGAGCGACCTCCCGAACCCTCCCATGAGTACAAACAAGAGGGCCCCGAGTCGCCGAATGATCGCTCCAAGACGCCCAAGATGGCCTCAAGATGGCCCAAGAGGCCACAAGAGGCCTCCAAGGGGCCTCCCATCCAAGAGGCAACAATTACTGATTGTCCCAAAGTTTTCGATGGATTTTTGGCGCTCTCGCCTTGTCGGCTCTCCGATGCTCCAAGACGACCCAACAGGCCCCAAAAACCACCTCAAGACAATTTGAGAGGCCTCCAAGAGGGCCCAAACACGGCCCAAGAGGCGCCCAAGACGGCCCAAGAGGGCCCCATGATGGCCCCACAAGGGGCCCAAGAGAGGGAACACGAACCGAGAATTCGAGCTTTCCTCCCCGAGAGGCCCCAAGGGGGCCCCAAGTGGCGCCCAAGAGGCCTGTAGAGCCCCCCCAGAGGCCCACAAGAGACCCAAAAGACGCCCCAAGAGGCCCCAAAACGGCCCCCAGAAGGCTTCCAAACTGCCTCCAAGAGCCCCCACAAGCAATCCCAGCCCAGCGAACATACAATAGGCTTTATACCCACAACCCAAGCACAGTTGCGGGGTGGGCAGAAGGCCATATAGTTTGGAGGCACCTATGCTTCTGCAAGATTGCCTCCGCGGCTTCGGAATACTCGTTTCGTTTCCGCAGCCTTCTGCTGGCTTCTCCCCGCCTCCCGCCGAGGAAGAGAAGTCAGCTTCCATACCCCTCGCAGGAGAAGCCCTACTCGAGATCAGCAACGGCCGCCGCCCAGACGGCCGCCGACCTCAGCCAATCACTCTCGCCGCCAGTGGTGGACCCCCGTCGATTCGCAGTCGCTGTCCAAATCGGTGCTGCGCTGCTCTTCTAGCTGCCCGAGCGCCCTCTCGGCGCCCCCCTCCGCGAGGCTGGTCGTCCTGGCCTCGCCGCGCAGCCGGACGCGGAACTTGAGGCCCTGCTCGGACACGCTG